ACAAACAAGTGACTGCTTTACATTTCAAGGTTAAAAACAGTCTCTAAACTTATGTTTAACCTTGTGACTTTAGAATATTTCAAAAGTGAAAGATTTGAAGAAAAAAGTCACACCAATTCACTTCTAAAAATCTGCATTTCTCTGTCACAATGCAGCTCTCTACCAACATCCCTCATTTGATTCTTCTCTATCTCCTCAAAATTCATACTCATCTTTACAAAGCTGCCAAGTCACATTTTTTCATCAAAATTTCCCACATACCACCACACCTGCAGGCAGTATCAGTAAATGAAACACAACTCAGTCTCATATGCTATTTTTATGCATTACCTTGAAATAAGTTTGACATTTCATATGCTGTGTGAAGTGTAATTTTTTAAAATTGCTTTCAGAGAAATGTTTATCTCAAAATCTAAAGGTTGTCCAACATCCTCCTCCTCTCAGAGGAAGCTTTGTATTCAGGCAGAAATGTAGTTTACCGTCCAAGACTTTATGATAGACTTTCTCAATTATTAAACAGCATGCAAGATACATTCACCCTGCATCATTTCAGAAAAAAATGCAATGAGCAAGCAGCTGTGTTCACAATACTACAGCTGAATACCATACTGATTTCAACCATAGCAGGTCACTGACTATATTACAGCAGAAATACCTGGTAATAAGAGTAAGTCTAAAGTTGAATATGGCCTGCACTTAGCATGTAAACCGTCTGTCAGTAACACAAAAGAAATACCTTTCAGCCTATCTTGAATTTTAGGAGCTGTTTCAAGCTTTCCAGAATTTCAAGGCCTGACATCACTATGCATGCAACCCCCTGAGAGTAGTTTCATTTCAAGAAAGCCTTGAGTCCTACCGACTGATGATTAGCTGTTTAAACAAGCATTTTTCAAATTATACGTTAACTGAAGTTTCACCCATGTATCTTAAAATGCGGAGTTAAATTCACAAGAATTGCCTTCACACAAGTGTAACGGTAACTGTCATGAAGCAAAAAAAAAAAAAAAAAAAAGAAAAAAGGACCATGATGCCCATTTCCAGTTTGAACGATGAGGGATCAGATGCCCTTGTGTCTATTACTTCCACACAACTTATACGCACGTAGAAGTTACAGGCTTTGTGTGGCTAAATTTTAGAGTCACCTTTGGTAAACTACTGTTTACTAAAGCATTACTATTGGTTTTGTTTGTTGACTTTGTGGACTTTCACACAGTGTTATCTGATCACATTTAATCCTCAAATGCTACAGTGTGAGCACACTCTAATAGGACACACTTCTGCATGTTCTCACAAATTAATCTAGAATAGTCTTAAGAGAACAACAATCTGGATAGCAGAAGAAAAACAGAGTTTAAACCTGTTAATGTTGCAGTGGCTTAAGTTTTCCCTGCACTGGAGAAGTAAACCCCTGTGCAATGGGTCTATATTCACTTAGAATAGGCTTGCTTTTCTTAGTAACCTCCATGGGACTCTTCACAGTACCCTGAACTCAAGTTCCAATATTCCTAAAGAGTTTCAAACATTTTTTCCAGCCTCTTAACAAGACTTAAGATGTATGTTACATTTAAGAGCACAGAACATCACTGATTTTAGCAGGAGCCTACATTAAAAAAAAAAAAGACTACACATTCAGTAGTGTTTTGTATTTCCTGAGACACACGTTCATACTAGGGAAGCATCACAGATGATACCTCTACAAACCTAGGTCCAGATTTTGAAGGTCAGCAACAGAAAGGCTTCCCTACAACGAAGAGGTAATCCAATCCCTAACCACACACACAATTAAATTGTTCAATTGAAAAGCACGTAGAATTTCCGCAACAGTAAGCATCCGTGACGTCAGTCACTAAGCAAGTCTAACTTTAAGCTTAGGTAGAAGTGTGAGCCACCTAAAAGGACAATAAACAAACATATTATTAATTAAATAAATTTGAAAATAAGCAAGAATAGCTGATATTTGTTTCCTGACGTCAAACTTACTTCAACTATGGCAGAACATTCAACAGCAGCATTACTTAAACTGTTATGAGTGTTGCCCTACCTTGCATTCTTACTGGCTCAGCACAGCTGTTTGTCACTTCACGGTGAACTGGATCTGGGAAACCTATCTTGCTGGCAAGTGGCGTGGCAAAATCAATTTGTTTATTTTTGGCTAAATTAGGCCCCAGATCTAGCTCAACATGCAACGTCATGCTTATGCAAGAACGACAGAGAATGGTGCAGAGACAGACTTATACCAGCACCACGGCCAAGAAAGCCACAAACCCATGCCTTTAGAGTAATTTCAATTTCCATTGGCCATCACTATTACAAGTGATTTATCACAACCCCTGCTAAGCTCCAGAGTCATCACAAAACTGAGCCGATAGGAAGCTCTCATCTTCAGATGTGCAGGCTGCAGGTCAGAAAGATCAGCTTTTGGACAGGAAAACAAGTGCTTGACACTGGTTGGAGAACATGGGAAGGGTGCTGCTGGTGGTCCAGCTCACTGTCTTAACAACTGACATTCTTCCTGTTCAGAACTACTAGTCAAGCAATTTATAAATGCTGACCAGTTTCAATCTCTTCCTTGTTTGCTTGTAAGGTGTTTTTTTCTTTTCTTCATGGAAGAAAGTCACAAAAGGCTCAATGTCCCTTAAATGAAAGGGTAAAATTAATTTTTATTGAAAAACAGTGATTTTCAAACAAACTGGTTTTGTTTAAATGTTACAAAGCCTCTCCAAAGTACACATCAGCTATTTATTCGGTCGGTAAGAAGCAGCAGCAAGAAACTAGCCTTCCTGAAGTTTCTCATTTTCTTGAAACCCTAATACCGTCTTCTGCTGTCCAATCCTAATGATACACAGGCATGTGAGATGAGAATAACAAACTACACTTGGACCACTTCCAGCTGCTTCACTTCTTTATGGAAGTGCGGGCCAGGACAGTGTTTACAAAACAGAGCATAACATCATAATCATAACTTAATACCTAGGAAAACGGCTTAAATATCACGAAAGCTATAAAAAAAAAAAAGCTCGAGTGAATAATAGCATT